CACGGGCCGGCCCCCGCGGCTGGCCCGATCATTCTCGACCGGCAAGGGTGGCCGGCCCTTTGTTTTTCGGCCCACATTTCTGGCCAGCCACCAAATAGGAAAAAAAGAATTTCGAAAAATTTTTCTGATCGAATTTTTTTTTTTTAAAAAAAAAACGTACTGATCGAACGAAGAATTCCTTGCCTCCGCGTCGTGGTGGTGCCGACATTTTTTGAATTTTTTTCGGACGTCGGAAGTGGCAAATTCGAGAGAGGGAAAGAGAGAAGAGAGAAAGTGTGGGTTAGAGCGACAAATTCGACTTTTCGGGGGCGGTAAATATTAAAAGGGGGGCGGTATTTAGGGGAAGTAGAAAGCGGTGATTACGGGGTGTATTCAATTGGGAATCTAAATGACATTTTAATACTTTTTAAGATTTGAGATTTTTTAGAATTTTCAGATTTGGGAAGAATTCTCTTAAGTCTGGAGTTAGGATTTGAAGTGAGATTTTCGTCTAAGGTTTTTTTGTTTAGAAATCTAACTAAATCTTAAAAAGTCTTAATAAATCATAGTGCCAAATAAATTAAATATCTCAGTATTTTTGTAAGATTTTTAAAAATCTCAATTGAATAATGCAGGATTTTTGAAAGTCTTAAAAAATCTTAACAAATCTAAATTGAATACATCCAGTATTATAAAGTCCTAACTATATATATCCTAAATCCTATTCCCCTCACACAACACGTATTAGAATCGGATATCAACACCTACTACACTTGCGTGAACAACCTAACAACTTCATTATTAATGTTATTATTATTATTATTATTTTACATAACAACTTATATAACTTGAATACGTTTGGGATTTGGGCTGTGCAGGTACAGAGTTCATCTCAATTTTGGATAAATCAAACGATTGAAATCCTTGTTTATACAGAAAGAACATCGGTAGGAATTAATCTGCCAACAACCCGGCCAAGCTTAACTAAATGGGGTATGGATTTGGGTGGAATTCCAAGGACGACGACATGTATTTTCACAACACGCTTTGTTCATCACTTGAGGTACCACCGTCTATTTTCTCTAATTTGTCTTGTGTTTTTCCTTTTTATATTTTTTGCTTATATGATGTGATATTGTCCCCATAGCTTCTTAGTTTTGCCGGTCTTGGAATTTTTATATAACTTAGGCTCGATAATATTACATGTTACCACTTGGGCCGATTATCACAAGACATTGGCTTGAATTAAATAGTTTCAAATATAATGGCCGACTAAATAAAATGACTCGACTCGGAATATTTAATAAATTTTCAACTTTTCTAGTATTCGATTAAAATAATAAATCAAGACTTTTAGGATTTTAAAATTTTATTTCAAATAAAATTCCAACATTTTCTCTAATTTGTCTTCATGAGTTTTTCCTTCTCTATTTTTTTGCTTACAGAACTGCCAACACGCTTTTTCGTCCCCATAGCTTAGTTTTGCCGGTCTTGTTAAGCTGCTTGGTTTTACTGGTTTTTATTTATTATGTCTGGTTTTGTTAAGCTTGTGGGCTGTACTCTTTGATAGTCTTTATGTTCAAATTTGTTGTGGCATCATTTCAATCAGGGTGCAAGTATGTTGCTCCTAGAGTGTTATAAACTTTTGAAGAGCTCAATAAGGTTTGAACATTCTTCTGAATTGGTTTTTGGGTATGAAGTCGCCCTGTCCCGTGAGGAAAACAAGTTTTGCGCTATCAACGTAAAATCCAGAAGAATCCGCACGTTGAGTGGTCTAAGAAGCAAGGATATTTATAACTACTTTGCAGGCAAGGTTGACTGTGAAAAATCAATGGAAATGGTAATATCTGCAACGGGTTAATCCTCATACTTTATTCCAAAAAACACGTTCTTTTTGACCCTCTATCTGACAGAATAGTGTTTGCAACGCACAAACTACCTGAATGGGGTACCAGCAGGTGTTGTGGCTTCTTCTACCATCCTCTGGCAAGGGAATACCGGCTTCTCCATGTGACGCAGATAGGAAAGTCTAGTTACGAGTACCACATTTATGAATTCAGGGCCCACAAGTGGAGGACAGTTCAGACTCCCGAATTTTCTCTTTATCCCCCTGAAAGCTCCGCGCAATTGGTGGTGACGAAAAGAGCTATGATTTGGTGGGATTTGACTGGCTTTAAGGTTTTCGACATAATTACTGAGAAGCTATGCTCGAAAGGTTCTCCCCCACCCGTTGGTGAGCCTAAAATGGTGGCCAAAGGAGATGAGGACTTGTGTTGTTGTTACGTGCGCTATGCAGAGACTGTAGTGGACGTTTGGGTTCTGGTGGACTACAAAAATTGGTTATGGGAAAGAAAGTATGCTGTGAACTTTGATTGGGAAAAGAATAGGTGCCCCTCGCAAGCATGGAGCGCTCACATCCCTCAAGTAACGCGTAACACAAAAGTAGTGAGCATTCAGGGGAATATTTTGGTGTTGGATATCAAGGGTGCTGGAGCACAACTGCATTGCTATGATTTAGTGTCTAATGCGTCTTGGATGGTCGACACCAACAAATTTAATGGGGAAACCCAAACAACTTGGTATGGTAGGCGACGACGTGTGGACAAGCATTTCACTTGGTATCGTTTGCTTGGCTTATAGGCAAACACACCTTATGTCCATCATTCAAATTTCTTTTTATATAATTATTAAGACTCTTTATGATTGGTTGATACGAGTTGATTTTTCTTTTGTTTCTATTCGATGATGAAACAATCCATACCAAATTTGTTTGTTGAGTAAGGGAGTTACCTGCTATTGAGTAATGGAGCTGCTTGAATTAAAGGAGGAACAAATAGGAAACTGAAAAATGTGCTTTGATTAAAAGGAGGAACAAATAAGAAATTGAAAAAGGAGAATTACTACCATCTGCTGTTTTTGTAAATTTTATTGGCCTTTTTGCAATTTGATATTTTCATTTTCATTATTATTGCGAGATATCAAAATAAGCTTGTAACAAGTGACCCACATGTGAAAGAGTATTTTATTAAAAGCTTAATCAAAATACGCATACACAACCATTCGGTATAAAATAAAATTATGTTGAAAATACTAGAAATATATTAACAAAAAAAAAAAAAGGTAAGTTGTACGAAGAATATAAATTAGTATAGAAGTTCTATTTAATGTATGTAATAGAAAGTTCTAGAAATACGCAACTTAAGTAATTATTTAATATTAGGAATATTATATAACAAAAAATCTGAAAATAGAAAATACTATGAAGAGAGATTTTGGAAATATAAAACTACTTAATGAATTTAATATATGAGAAAGGATCATCTCATATGGAATAATGAAAGAAATAAGAATGATTGTAGACCATTAGATCCTATTTATCAATAATTAAGATAAAGTTAAAATTTGACTAATTATTAATGACGATATAGTAAATTAACATTGTGGTCAAATATACAGATAATAATGTATATATATATATATACATTATTATATATATTAATCTGTTGGGTCCACCATTAATATATTAACCACTCTCTCTCATATTTATACGCAACAGTCAGCACCCACTAATCTCTTATATTATATTAAGAAAAATCATTGTTCTAAAAGTCTCTAGGCGCCGGCTAGGCGCCCGACCAGCGCCTAGGCGGCGCTTAGTCAGGGCCTAAAAATCAATATTAAATACCTTATTTTTTATTTATTTAACTACTAACAAAATAAAAGTATCTCAACTTACAATAAATCGACACACCTAAGTCAAATAATAATATTAATATATTTTAAAGAAAATATAAGAACAAAATAATGTAATTACTATTTAAAAAAAAACTGAAAAATTGCCGCCGAGCCCGCCTAGGAGCGCCTAGGTCCGCCTACGCCCGCCTAGGCGCCGCCTAACC